CCAAGGCAGCCTGAGAGGCAGGTCTGGCTCTGCCTCTGATTTGCTGCGGACAGTCAGTAGCTCACCAGGCTTTCCTCTTTTAAGAGAACAGAGCATCGTGGGCACTGTCCCTCATATGCCGTCCCCACCTTTGCATCTCTTCATTGTCTCTGCCTGTCCCAGCTGGTCAAAGGGACCTAACCCTGAACAAGACCCACCCGGGAGAGCCCTGGTAGACCAGGCCCTTGCAGGTGGCTATCTTTCCGGGCCTGCTTCCTGCACATCACAGGTCTCCTGTGTCCAGGGTTCCCCCAAGAGCACACAGGCTGACCAGCCCGGTTCCTCCACGCAGTGCTCAGGTGCCCACTCAAGCTGCTCGTCCTCGGGGCTAGCAGGGCCCTGGCCTATCTACCTTGTCCCCGCGCCCCAGGCTTGCCACCTCCATTTTACCCAGGGTTAACAGAGAAACGAGCTGCAGGCACAAGACAAACAGGGCAGGGCAGACTAAAGGTACTCTTAAAAGTACAGAAAGGCTGCATGCATCACAATGGAAAACTAGGGTTAGTGAACAACGAGGGAGAAAGGGCCATGAGCCTCAGAGATGGACATGATGTCTGCCGGAAGAGCACAGGGAAGCCACAGAAGAAAGCTACAACCAGGTGTGTACCAAAGTCATCACAGCTGCAATGTGGAGAACCAGGTGTGTACCAAAGTCATTACAGCTGCAATGTGGAGAACCAGGTGTGTACCAAAGTCATTACAGCTGCAATGTGGAGAACCAGGTGTGTACCGAAGTCATTACAGCCGCAATGTGGAGAACCAGGTGTGTACCAAAGTCATTACAGCTGCAATGTGGAGAACCAGGTGTGTACCAAAGTCATTACAGCTACAATGTGGAGAACCAAGTGTGTACCAAAGTCATTACAGCTGCAATGTGGAGAACCAGGTGTGTACCAAAGTCATTACAGCTGCAATGTGGAGAACCAGGTGTGTACCAAAGTCATTACAGCTACAATGTGGAGAACCAAGTGTGCCTTTAGCAAAGCTCTGAGAGGGTGCACCCCAATAAAAGCAGCAGTCACAGGAACCCTAGGGCTGGGCCGAGGACGTCAGAGCATGCACGAAGTCCTAAATCTGATGTCCAGTGCCACACGAAACTGAGCATGGTGGCATTGATGCATGCAATCTCTGCAAACACACGAACAAGTAAATCCAGAAGAACCCTCTCAGTCTGCTGTCCTCTTCCAGTCCTTCTGCTAGAGGAGAGAGGAAGGAAAACCGGGAGGATGTGGCTGAAGTGTCTTGCACTGGTGGGATCCCACCAAAACAGGAAGTGCTGGCACTGGCCTGTCAGTCTCCTACAAGAGGCCAGCAGGGGAGCCGGGAGCTAGAAGCTCCACGCCCTCCAGCCACAGGGCCCAACACTGAGTTCCCACTTGGGGCTGCCACCTCTTCCAGGCTGCTCCTCCTGGAACACAGAGCCTCCAGCTGCAGACCTTGAGCTCCCACTCCGTGTGTGGCCTGCAGCCTATAGCTCACATAGCTCCTGCCAGGGAGCTGCCCAGGGGGCTGAGGGGAGGAGGAACTGCACAGTTTCTCCCTGGAGCCTCATCTGCTCTCTCCACCGCAAGAACATCGAGTTCAGACCTCTCCCCAAGGGCTCCTTTCTCAGAAGCACATAGCAGAGTCCCACAATCGACTTCACGCATCAGCGCAGACAGCTCTTTGCAGTCTCTAGAATAAAGCAGCCTCGTCTGGTCCTGAGAAGCCATCCATCCCAACACCTTCCACTTATTATCAGAGTGCACCTCCACTACGTCTCTGCTCTCCACTCTGGAATCTCCTGCCAGGCCTCTTCCCACAGTGTCCTAGGCACTGTGTCATAAACAGCAGGGCCAGCTCCTGAAGGCTCTCAAGGAAGTTGCCTTTCAGAAAGCGTGGTGCTGGATAGAAAAAAGGTAAGCGAGAGGGGATGCTGTGTGCCACACGTGTTGGTACACACCCACCACAAAGGGATGTGATTATTCCTGTGATGGTGCAGACCTGTAATTCCAGCACTCAAGGATTATGAGTTCGAGGACATTCTGGGATACAGGGCAAGACCCTGCCTCAAAAATAAGGAAAGAAGGGAGGCAGGGAGGGAAAGAGGTGCATGGGCCAAGGCGAAGACTCAGTGAGTGAAGGTGCCAGCTGCCAAGCCTGCTGCCTGAGTTCCACCTCAGGACCCACATGATGGAAGAGAAAATCAACTCCTGCAATGTGTCACCTGACCTCCACAATACACAAACTTAATTTTTAAAATAAAGAATAAAATTTAGCCGGGTGTGGTGGTGCATTCCTTTAATCCCAGGACTTAGATAGAGGCAGAGGCAGGTGGGTCTCTGTGAGTTCAAGGCTAGCCTGGTCTACATTGTGAGTTCCAGGACAGCCAGAGCTACATGAGACACTGCCTTGAAACAAAACAAACAAAAATTTTAAATAAATAGAATAAAAATGTAAGGAGGAGTACAAAAGACAGATTAGTCATCATTTTATAAAGATGTCTACTTCGCCACTCTATATCACACAGGATAAACTCAGTCATCAAAGCCATATTTTGTGTGAGTGTATGTGTGTGTGTGTGTGTGTGTGTGTGTGTGCGCGACTGCATACATACACGCACGCATGTAGAAGCACTACTCGTCAGGCACCCTTACCTTGTTTATTGAGACCAGGCCTCTCATTAGCCTGGAGATGTTGGTGGGTATGCTGGCGAGCCAGTGAGCCCCCAGGAACCTGCCCATCTCCACTTCCCCAGAACTGGATTACAAGTGTGTGCCACCAGGACCACCTTTTTTACCTGGGGTTAAACTCAAGCCCTCACGCTTGCTCAGCAAGTACTTTACCGACTGAGCTGTCTCTTGAGACTGACCTCAGAGATATTTCTGACAGGGTTGGAAAGGTAGAAATAATCCTAAAAAGCCATTGACAAGGGTCAAAATAAACAAGCTATGATATAAATACTCAACGTAATACTACACTGTTATAAAAAAAAAAAGCGCTCTGTGCTGACAGGAAAAGGAGACTTAAATGTGTGACCTATGAACTCACACAGTGGCATATTCGAGCACATTCCCATTCTCTCTGTGCATGCACACACACACACCCCTGATGTGTCACTTATAAAGTAACACAAGTACAAAGTGATGATATTGGAGCTTCTTACAGAGTGCCCTCCGTGAGTTCCACAGAAGGTCACTAAGTCAGGGGACAGCCACACACCCCTGCAATCCCAACACTTAGAGTGCTGAGGCAGGAGGATGGTAAGGCTGAGCTGAGCTTGGCCTTGGGCTACACGTGGAGGGTGGGGGGGGGTTACAGCGGATGCTGTCAGTTGTGCTCATGTCAAGTTCTGGAGGCCAAGATCCAGCCCTCACTCTACTCTGATGGCTTGGGTGACCTGCTGAGGCCTCTAAGTTTCCCTGGAGACTTTTCTCACCGGTGCTGAGGAACGGAGAGGGGAAAGATCAGCACTTGATGCTGTGATTGCAGGGTTCACCTTCTTCTCGAGCAAAACCCCAATCCTCCTCCGCTTGCTAAAAAAAGAGAGGTGGGGATACCTGCCCCCTCTCAGAATTCTACAAGAATTAAGCGACAGCATGTATCAGAGTACTTCATACAGTGTCCAGCACACATATGCCCTGTAGAAACAGCAGCTGCTGTCATTATTGCTGAGTGAGGTAATGACATTGGCACTGCCTACATAATGGGGTATTGAGAAGATCTGACGAGATGTATGCTGGCAAAGAGAGGAGCAGCACGAGGAACACTTACATAAGGCTCTCGCTCCCACCACAGCCTCAGCCGCCCGCTGAAGAAGGGAGAAAAGTAGGGTGCTTGTCTTCTTTCGCCCCCTGGACAGAATTCCAATCAAGTTGCTTACTTGGGGCCCTGCTTCACTTAGACAGGAACGGGCACATCCGAAACACCAAGTCGGATTGCCAGAAGCCAAGTCCTGACTATTTCTGTTAATAACATCCCAGCCTAAGAACCATTCGACTCCTGGTGGTCGGTCACCTTTCTGATTCCTCCATCTGAAGGACCACTTATCCACAAGCAGTACCTACTTCAAGGTCACAGAGCCCGCCCAAATCCTATTCCATCAAGAATCGCCTGGCCTCCACGAACTACCAAGTCCTTTTTCCGAGCCCTGCACAAAACACTTGTCTCAGTGGAGTTCCCCCTCATGCTGTCTTCCCCCTAGCTCATCACCCAAAGGCGCCTCCGTTCCTCCTCCTCACTATGTCCATCCCAGGTGCTCTTGTCTTCACACTGGATAAATCCAACAAAGGCCCCAACAACCTAACACCCTCACGTCTTTCGAACCAGAACCATCATTCACTCTACTCCCTCCAAGGCGCCAAGCTGTGGCTCTCACACCTCGAGCTCTCCTAGGGGTTCCTAGAGGACGTCCTCGGCCGTTTCTGCGATTCCGCCCAAGCAGTCCCTTCCCTACATGGTTACCCACTCGTCCCCAAAGCGTCCTTCTTGGACAGGGGGCCACATAACTCCGTCCCGGGACACCTGCCATAAACCTTCCTCGCACCCCGAGAAGCCCTCGTGGCAGCAGCCACTTTGCAATTCCTCCAGGCCAGACACTCCCCCCCGAGGTACCCGTCGCAGCTCTCAGACTTCCTCTCTTAACTCCTGGCACCCAGAGGATGCCAAGAGCGCGTCATCCCAAAAGGCACTGGTGCATCCCACCCTGTCGCCTGGCATCTGGTTAGGATCCGGATACGAGGCGGTTTTTTGTTTTTTGTTATTTTTTTATTCGCCCGGACCCCCTCCACTTTCTCAGCACCCTGTCCCCCAAGAGCTCCCGACTGACGCCGCTCAGGCCCCCCTCGGCTTGGGCCCGTCACTCCCACCCGCGGCTCCCGGACGGTTCGGCTCGGCTCAGCTCCTTGGGCCGGTCCCGGCTCGCGTCCCGCCCCGAGGCCCCGGGGACCCCGCCGCCGTCCCCGCCCGCCCCCTCCCGGCCGTCCCGGCGGCCATTGCTCCAAGATGGCGGCGGCGGCGGCGGCGGCGGCGGGTGAGGCGAGGCCGGGCCGGGCCGTGCTGGGGGGCGCGGGAGGGCGGCGGCGGCGGCGCTCACCTGCAGCTCGGCGCGCTCGGCCTCCCAGCGGGCCTTCTCGGCTTCGAAGCGTGCCCACTCGTGCTGGATAAAGTGCAGGATCCCGGGCAAGCTGAGGGGCTCCGGGCCCGCCGTGGGGCCCGGGCTGCCTCCGCCGCCTCCTCCTTTACCTACCGGGCCGGGCCCAGGAGCCGGGCTGGAGGCCGGGGCCGCCGCCGTCGGGTTGGGAGCCGTGCCCGAGCCCAGAGGGCGGCACGAGGAGGCGGCCGAGGCGACCGCGGCGGCCGCTCGCTCCTCCATCATGGAGGCCCCGGGGCCGGCCCGCGCGCCCGCTGTGCCTCGCGCGCCTGCGCGGACGCGCAGCTTCTCACACACTCACACACACATCGCGGGCGAGCGCGAGTGCGCGCGCGCGACCTCGCGGCGGGCGAGGGGAGCGGAGGCGAGCCCAGGGCTGGGCGCGAGCCTCGCCCACCCAGGGTTAACCCCGGGGGTGTGCGCCCTCCGAGACGCAGACAGGGGAGGAGGGGGAGTGGCTGCCTCAGTTTAGGCGAAGGACCTAAGGCCCCCTCGCCATCGTACCCCCTTGCAGGAGTGAGACAGAACGGGACTCCTGCCTTCTCCCCAGTGTCAGAGCCGTATCCCCCTCCATATGCAAATACCCCTGCCCCCGCCCCCATCACTTTCTCTCATTAAGAGGTAATTTCGGGAGTGGGATCCGTCCTGAGCTTTGACCCAGTCTGTCGTCATAGCAACCCTATCCAACCTGGAGGTCTCTTCCAGCCCCCCTCCCATTTTTTCGTTATGCGGAGCCCCCTGAACCTCGACTATCATTGCTCCAGGAGGAGGTTGCTAAGGTAACCCAAGTCCCTGGTGGGTCTTCTGACCCTAGCCTCATCAGTTACTATGGCAACCTCTCCTCACCTAGTGCTCAGGTAGAAAAAGAACCCTGCCCCAAAGACATTCCTCTAAGAAAAATGCCTCTGTCCCACTCCTCCCCCAGCCAACCCAGTTGGTATTGCCATAGTAACCATCTCCCCTTCCCATATGGGAGGTCCATGGACAAACCAACCAGGTGTTTTTATTTAAGGAAGTGCTGCTGTGGGACAGTTGCTATGGTTACAGGGCTTGGACCATTTCCAGGGAGATGAGGACCAGTCAAAGCCATGCCCTGGTTACTATAACAGGGCAATCTCCCACCTTCTAGTGATCCAGAAAGATAGGGGCTGTTTTAGGATTATCTCCAACGGATGCATGTGTCTAGGGGAGAGGCTGTCATGGTAACAGCTGCTGTCACTTCTGCCCTTCATTGGGACACCACCACGGAAGAGGGATAGTTAGTTACAGCTTACAGCCAATAACTGACGCACCCTCTACCCACCCACCCCACTCCTGAGACAACTGAAGCGGTGCCTCAGCTTCAAACAGAAAATAAATAAATAAGAGTCCTTGACTTCGTTTGTGGGTAGGATGAAATTGGACTTTTATTTTGCATGGAGTTGGCTCATTTGATGTTTTCTGGTTTCTCCCTCAGCAGATGACTCAAGGTGGAGCTACCCTCCTTGGTCACCCTCAGCCTGAAACCTAGGGAGGTAAGAAGTCCCCTTTGTTGTCACAAGAATCCCTTAGATGCTACCCTTTCCAGGTCTTTAAAAGCTTTCCTGAATAGACCTCCTTTTTGTACCTACCTGGGGGATGAGGCTCAGGCCAAATCACACACACTTTAAAATTTTCACTTATTTTTTATTGTGTGTGCCTGCATGTATAGAGATCAGAGGACGGCTTGCCGGGGTTGATTCGTTCCTTCTATGGGGTGGGTCCTGGAGATCGAATCCAGGTCAGACGGTGTGCCAAGCACTTTTACCTGCTGGGCCACCTCACGGTTTTGTTGATGTTTTCTGTCGGTCTGGACTTTTTCTCACAGCCTCACATAGCCCAGTTTGACCTCAAACTCAAGTAGTGGCCAAGGATGACCTTGGATTTTTAATCCTCCTGCCGCCACCTCCCAAGAGCTGTGATTACACACATTTAACACCACTTCCAGCATATAAAATGTTCTGGGGAAGGAATGGAAAGCCAGTGAGAGATCTCAGCTTCATTCTCCAGTCCCTGATCACTTTCCATAGACAAGGCTCTGGGTTACTCATTCATGCCCCCTGCTGGTCCTGCTACCCAAGTTGTTTTTGTCTGCCTGTCTTTTCAGGAGTGCAGAACACAGATCTCTGAACACAGGGGCCAGGGCTGGGGTTGGGGCCGAGGACTTAGCTGGTAGAGTGCTTGTGGAAGATGGTAGTACATGCCTGTAATCCTAGCCCAGCCCTTGGTAGGTGGAGTCATCATCGTCAACTACATACCTAGTTCAAGGTCAACCTGGCCCACACTAAGACCCTGTCTCAAACCAAACAGCCTGGCACAGAGTACTTGCTAAGTACCCACTTGATATACTGACTTCAATCACACGCCATATTCAGCTTTCTGAGTACCTGTCAGCTGAGCTCTGGAAGACGTGTAGTGGAAGAGTTGGGCTATGTGATTGATTACAAGAAAATAAATACAAAATACAAAGAACCAGAGTTGGGTGGACATGGTAGCATAGGCCTGTAATCCCAGCAGTCAGAAGGGCAAGAGTTTCTTAGTTCAAAGCCAGCCTTCAATACACAGTGAGATCCCATCTCAACAAAGCAAGATGGTGTACTAGGGTTTTTCGGTATTGTTTTGTTGTTTTTGAGACAAGGTCTAATTGTGTGTGCCAGGCCAGCCTCAAACTCATCTGTCTCTAGCTGCTGGCATTAAAGGTGGGCGTCACTGTGCCTGTTGGTTTTACTGGTTTGAAGCAGGATTCTGGATCTAGCTTCTTGCATCAAATCCCATGTCCCTCCTCTCTGCTGTGCTACTTTGAGCAAGAGTCCACCTCTCTGTGCCTCAGTTTCCTCGCTTTACTTTTATTTAAGTGTGTGAGTGTTTTGCCTGCGTGCTTGTCTGTTTACTGACGACAAGCATGCCCGGTGCCCATGGAAGCCAGAAAGGGGCACCGGAACCCCTGGAACTGGACTTACAGACAGTTGTGAGCAGCTTTGTGAACGCTGGGAATTGAATTCCTGTGCTCTTCACTGCTGAACCATCTCCCCAGCCCTGTTTTGTGTTTGCTTGATTGGTTTCCCCCCCCTTCCTTATTGTACTGGGAATGAAATATTTTTATGCTATGCAATTTTGCCACTAAAAGCCAAATGGGGGGGGGGGCGATGGGGACCTTGATGGTGAGTTCTGTGCTTCTATTGCTAAGCCCTGACCCAGCCCTCTCCATCTGTAGACCAGGCTGGCTTTGAACTCGTGGAGATCCACCTGCCTGTGCCTCCTAAGTGCTGGGGTTAAAAGGCAGCGGCTGTTGCTTCCTTCCTTCTGCTGCTTTGGGGTTTTGTTTTGTTGAGGTGGAAAGTCTCACTATGTGGCCCCTGCTTGTCTTAAACTCTCCATCTTCCCACTTCTGCTTCCCGAGGGCTGGATTGCACAGTGTACCACAGCTTTTAAAAATTGTGATCAAACACGCATGACATTAACCAATCTTGCATGTACAGCTCCGTGGTGCATTTACACCTATGCGCTGTCCCACACCTGTAGACCCAGCACTGGGAGGCAGCTGCCTAAAGATCAGCTGTTCAACCTAGGATGTCCGGGAAGTCTTGAGATCAGATCCGGGGAGAGGGTTTGCGGGAGGGGGTGCTGACAACTTGCTCCAGCCTCCCTTTTTATCCTATCTCCCCAGGATGCCCTGGACACCGCTGCTAGGGTCTGACATCGGGCCCCATGCGGCTCACCCGCTGCTGGGCTGCCCTGGCAGCCGCCATCATCCTCAACCTCCTAGTCTTCTTTTATGTGTCCTGGCTACAACACCAGCCCAGAAACTCTCGGGCACGGGGCCCCCGCCGGACTCCGGCCACTGGTCCCCGTGTCACCGTCCTAATTCGGGAGTTTGAGGCATTTGACAACGCGGTCCCGGAGCTGGTGGATTCCTTCCTGCAGCAGGATCCAGCCCAGCCCGTGGTGGTAGCAGCCGACACGCTCCCTTACCCACCCCTGGCCTTGCCTCGCATCCCCAACGTACGCCTGGCGCTGCTCCAGCCCGCCCTGGACCGGCCAGCCGCGGCCTCGCGCCCAGAGACATACGTGGCCACCGAGTTCGTGGCCCTGGTGCCTGACGGGGCACGTGCCGAGTCACCAGGCCACCTGGAGCGAATGGTGGAGGCGCTCCGGGGAAGCAGCGCGCGCCTCGTAGCCGCCCCGGTCGCCACCGCCAACCCAGCGCGGTGCCTGGCACTGAACGTCAGTCTGCGGGAGTGGACTGCACACTACGGTCCAGCGCCCGGCGCGCCCCGCTGTGACGCCCTAGATGGCGACGCCGTGCTGCTGCTGCGCTCCCGCGACCTCTTCAACCTGTCGGCGCCCCTGGCGCGGCCTCTGGCCACCAGCCTTTTCCTGCAGACCGTCCTACGAGGCTGGACCGTGCAGCTGCTGGACTTGACCTTCGCGGCGGCGCGCCAACCCCCGCTGGCCACGGCCCACGCGCGCTGGAAGGCGGATCGCGAGGGGCGCTCTCGGAGGGCGGCGCTGCTGCGCGCGCTGGGCATCCGCCTGGTGAGCTGGGAGGGCGGGCGGCTCGAGTGGTTCGGCTGCCACAAGGAGAGTGCGCGCTGCTTCGGAACAGTGGCGAGCGACACCCCCTCCTACCTGTACGAGGGCCGCTGGACACCGCCCTGCTGCCTGCGCGCACTACGCGAGACCGCACGCTACGTGGTGGGCGTGCTAGAGGCGGCCGGCGTGCGCTACTGGCTGGAGGGCGGCTCGTTGCTGGGTGCAGCCCGGCACGGCGACATTATCCCTTGGGACTATGACGTCGACCTGGGCATCTACCTGGAGGACGTGGGCAACTGCGAGCAGCTGCGGGGCGCCGAGGCTGGCTCGGTCGTGGACGAACGCGGCTTCGTGTGGGAGAAGGCGGTGGAGGGCGACTTCTTCCGCGTGCAGTACAGCGAGAGCAATCACCTGCACGTGGACCTGTGGCCTTTCTACCCCCGCAATGGGGTCATGACCAAGGACACGTGGCTGGACCACCGGCAGGATGTGGAGTTCCCGGAGCACTTCCTGCAGCCCCTAGTCCCCCTGCCCTTTGCGGGCTTCATGGCACAGGCCCCTAACAACTACCGCCGTTTTCTGGAGCTCAAGTTCGGGCCCGGTGTCATTGAGAACCCGGAGTACCCCAACCCTGCCCTCTTAAGCTTGACAGGCGGCTGAAACCCTGGTGCTCGAATCTGGGACTGGGGTTACCTTTGGAGGTCGTGCGGATCTGAACAGGCTCGTTTGATTGGGCCACGTGAGGCTGTGCACGGGAGAATAAAAAGGTGAACTGGCCAAGGACTACTTAAGGGAGCCCACAGGAAAAGCCCGGCTTTGGTGGGAAGCAGAACCCTGCCGAAGATTGGAGAAACATGCATATTCTTAAGCCTTGAGCTGGGGCTATGTGAGGAGACCTCCTACCCCATCCTAGTAATGGAGGGAAGTGGTGGCTTTTGATGGACAGGCTTAGAGCCCATCTTCAGGGCTTCGCATAGTCTCTGCCCTATATTCCAAGAGCCCTAGGCCTTTGGGAAGTGAGGTCAAGAGGCCAGACCTGCCAGCCTCGGTCTACCACATACAACTTTTGTTGCTTTCTGCCTGTTTGGAGATGCTGAATGTCTCCATTGGTATCTGAAAACCCTCGGGATCCTTGGCTGTAGTGTTTGCTTCCTCCACTAGAGGACGCATCTGTCCCGTTCCTTTCCTCTTTGACGACTGCCAGCTTCTCTGCTCCATAACCACCATCTCTGGTTTTCTTGGAGTGGCTCTGGGTGGTGGGACCGCACTGGCCACCTCCCTCCTCCTTGAATGTGGCACTTTTCTTTGAGAACGCTACGTGAGATATCTGCTGCTTCTAACCCCTTCGTGCACCTGGAAGGCTAACAGGGCTCTGGTTTGGGATCCTGGCTGACACATGGATTACCTCGTTCAGTTGCCCCACTTGCCAGGAGGGGTGAACCTTGCCGTATCTCACAGTTAAGGAGAACTTACTGGGGCCCAATCGCGCACAGGGATGGATTTATCCTCACTCTTACCCCCCGGAATTGACAGCTGCTATTACATCCATTTTCCAGGGAGGATAACGGAGGCCAAAATGGCAGTTATTTATCCGTGACCAGATAGTCTAGGAAGAGGCCAGTAGGGGACTTGAATTCAGGCCATCATTTCAAGGCCCTCTTTATGTCCCGCTCTAGAAATGGCACCCAAGAGGGGCCTTGCGGTTGTGTCATTTAACAGGTTAAAAATAATAACTTTCCTTATTTGATTATGCATATAAATTATGTTCAAGCCATGACTACCAGGATGTATAAAGTTAAATAAGGCTTAAATTGTTACTTTAAAATTAAAAAAATTCAAGATGAATAGTGCCTTTTGTTTTCTTGCTTCAAGGATTTGCTGCACACACCACCTCGATGTGAGTGGGGGGCCCCCACCCCGTTTATTTTATTGGGAGGAGCACGATATGAGGCAGGGTCTAACTTTGTAGCCTAGGCTGACTTTATGCTTAATAGCCCCGACTCGAGAGTGCTGGAATTGCAAGTGTGTATCAAAACGTCTTGTCCAACGGAGGATTGATTTTTGCCGTTCCTTGACCCAAGGTCTGTCCTTGCTACGGATCCCAGGCTGGCCTGCAATGTGTAATTCTCCTGCCTCTCCCAGGTGCTGGGATTATAGCATACCCACACCCTGGTCCTGATTTTTTGTTGTTTTTAAAGCACAGGGCTAGTGATGTAGCTCCCAGGTTACCCTAGGCTTGATCACCTGCACCACAAAATAGTAACAGAAACTAACTACTAAAGCACAGGGAGCCGGCTGGGCGTTGGTGGCGCACGCCTTTAATCCCAGCACTCGGGAGACAGAGGTAGGCGGATCTCTGTGAGTTCGAGGCCAGCCTGGTCTACAGAGTGAGTTCCAGGACAGCCTCCAAAACAATACAGAGAAACCCTGTCTCGAAAAACAAAAAAAAGCACAGGGAGCCACACAGCTGTGTTTGTGATCTCAGTGATTTAGGAGACTGAGGCTGCAGAATTTCCAGCCCAGGAGCTCAAGGCCATCATCAACTACATGGAGAGTTCCAGACCAGCCTAGGCTACAAGTGTTCATGTCTCAAAAAACACAAACTATTGGGCCGGGCTTAGTGGTGCTCTCCTTTAATGCCAGCACTAAGGACACAGAGGCAGGAGGATCTCTGTGAGTTCTAGGTCAGCCTAGTCCACATAGCAAGCTCCAGGACAGCCAGGACTACACAGAGACCCCGTCTCTAGCGAGGGGAGGGGCTGTCTCAGTGGGTAACGTGCTGCTTTGGTGTGTGCTGCCGAGGTCTTTGTCAACACAAGCTAGTGTCATCTGGAAAGAGTGCCCTCAATTGAGAAAAAGCCTCTCTCAGATTGGCCTGTGGGCAGGTCTGTGGGGCGGGCATTTTCTTGACTAGTTATTGATGTGAGAGTGCCCAGGCCACCGATCAATGGTAACCCTGGGTTCTGTAAGAAAGCAGACTGAAGCCTGGTGGTGGTGGCGCACACCTTTAATCCCAGCACTCAGGAGGCAGAGGCAGGTGGATCTCTGAGTTCAAGGCCAGCCTGGTCTACAGAGCAAGTTCCAGGATAGCCAGGGCTACACAGAGAAAGAAACCCTATCTTGAAAAACAAAAACAAAGAAAGCAGGTTGAGAAAGCCACTGAACAGCACTCCATGGCTTCCTCTTCCCGACTTCCTTCAGTGATAGATTATAACCTGAGAGTTGTAAGATGAAATAAACCCTTTTCTCTGGATCCAAATTGCTATTGGTCATGGAGTTGGCTTTTTTGGTTTTGGTTTTTTTGGTTTTGTTTTTCTGAGACAGGGTTTCTCTGTGTAGCCCTGGCTGTCCTGGAACTCACTCTGTAGACCAGGCTGGGCCCGAACTCAGAGTGCTGGGAGTGTGGCACCACACTCAGCTAGTTAAAGAAACTTTTTGGAATATCCTGAGGTCACAACTGAGCAAGCCCTCTCCCACACAGTAATGATAATGAGGATAACACTGGCTGCCACGCCTGACAGCCTGAATTGGATCCCCAGGTCCCTCGTGGTGACGGAGCATGCATGATGCACTTCCCCAGTAAGTTATAAAGAATGTGTAAGTTTACTACTTTACCAATTATTACCAGCCAGAAATTATCTCTACATTTTAATAATCTATTCATCCAGATTGGAGCAACTGAATGCCAGCCTTCCTTGCAGGCAAAAATGCTCTACACCCCACACTGGAGTCTCCAGTGTAAGCACAAGGTGGTCTGGGAGGCTCTAACCGCCTCTGGATTTTCCAGGAAGTGCAACACCCATGTAAAATGAGGGAAGCTTGTGTCGGCTTTCTGTAGGGAACTCGGCCAGGGCCTGCCCATCACATCAGAAAATCCTGTGGCCCGTTGGCAATTGGCTGCCAGAACATCTCCCAGCACATTTGGAGCTGCCAGTACTAGTGTCAGACAACCCCCTAGGGTTGTAATTTACATATCACACATGTAATTTTTATATGTGTGTGATTTATACATATGTTACATATGTGATTTATATATTACATATATAATTTGTATATTTGGCTAGGACTATAGTCAGTAGTAGATTAGCAGAGTGCTCACTTAGCATACAGAAGGCCTTAGATTCAACCCCCCAGCACTTAAGGAGGTAGAGGCAGAAGCGGAGCTCAAGGGCAACCTCGGCTACATAGAAAATCCCAGGCCAGCCTGGGCTACATGTTGAGTTCTCAGCTAGTCTAGACTATAAAGCAAGACTCTGTCTCAAAGCCGGGCGTTGGTGGCGCATGCCTTTAATCCTACCACTCGGAAGGCAGAGGCAGGTGGATCTCTGTGAGTTCAAGGCCAGCCTGGTCTACAGAGCAAGTTCCAGGACAGCCTCCAAAACAATACAGAGAAACCCTGTCTCAAACAAACAAACAAACAAAAAAACCAAAAGCCAAAACAACAACAACAACAAAAAAAAACAATTAAAACAATAACTACTTAAATGCCATTCATCCAGTAGCTGATGGAAGCAGAAGCAGACACCCATGGCTAAGCACTGAGCCATACTCTTGGAATCCAGTTGTAGAGAGGGAGGAGGGATGAGCAGAGGGGTCAAGACCAGGCTGGAGAAACCCACAGAAACAGCTGACCTGAGCAAGTGAGAGCTCATGGAACCCAGTCGTAAAGCTGGGGAACCAGCATTGGACTGAAACAAGCCCTCTGGATATGGGTATGAGGAGGCCTGGGCAGTCTATGGGGCCTCTGGCAGTGAAACAGTATTTATCCGTAGTGTACAAATAAACCTTGGGAGCCCATTCCCCATGGAGGGATTCTCTCTCAGCCCAGATACATGAAGGAGGGCCTAGGTCCTGCCCCAAATGATGTGACAGACTTGGATGATCTCCCACCGAAGACCTCACCCTCCCTGGGGAGTGAATGGGGGTCGGAATGGGGGAGTCAGTGGGGGACATGGGAGGATGGGTGGGAGAGGGAACTGGGATTGATATGTAAAATAATATTGTTTCTAATTTAAATTTAAGAAACAAAAATCTAAGTAACTAGAGTAGGTGGTGGTGAGTTAGTGATGCCTGGAATGGGGTGGAGTTTGGGTTAAACATCCCCAGAGAAGACCTTGCTGGGGCGACACTGGAGAGAGAGGAAGAAAGATCTGAGTAGAGATCTGGGCCAAAGGTGTCTAGAAGGGAGAGCCAGAGAAAGGTCTCTGGGGCAAGGGCCAGCCTGGCATGAGCGAGAAATAACTGGCAGGCAAGACGGGGTCAGGGTGCTTGTCACCAAGCCTGAGACCTGAGTTCAATCCCCAGATCCCACATAGTGGAGGGAGAAAAATCACACACACACACACACACACATATATATACACATCTATATATCTGCACGAGCATGTCCACAAACATGCATGCACACACACATATATACATATGTACATACATATATATCTGCGCAAGCATGCCCACAAACATGCATGTGTGCACACACAGACATACCTATTATATATACATATATATCTGCACGAGCATGCCCACAAACATGCATGCACACACACACACACATATATATATCTGCACGAGCATGCCCACAAACATGCATGTGTGCACACACACACATATGTACATATATATACACATATATATGTATGAGCATACCCAACAAACATATATACACACACACAGACACACACACTATTTTTTTTTCCGGGATTGAATTCATGTCATCTGTAGGCCAGCCTGGTCTACAGAGCAAATTCCAGGACAGCCAGGGCTGCACCGAGAAACCCTATCTTGGAAAAAAAAAAAAGAAGAGTCTGTGGTGATGGGAGTTAAAGATGGATATGATCAATATATATTGTATACACGTAAGAAATTGTCAAAGAATGCGCAATATTCTAAAATAAACTGGAAGAAGTAAAAGCTGGAGGGACACTGAGGTCCGGGGAGTTTCAAGCCAACTAGGACTATGGAGTGAGACCTTGTCTCAAAAAGCCAAAACCAAACGAACAAAAAGAGACCAGTGTGGCTGGAGTGAGTGGGGAGGTGCATGGAACAGGCTACAGATGTGACTGAGTGAGGGATGCTACAGAGGTCTCCTGTGAGGAGCTCCTGACTGTGGGCCACCTCCAAACAGGGAATGGGCGCGCCCAGAAGTGGGAACTGCTGCCCTCTTGTGGGCATATGGGAAGTAGTTCAACCAGGAGAGCCGTGAGTTAGGGACTCTGCTGAATTTCAGATGGGTGAGGGGTCAGGTGGTCCAGGTGTGAAGTTCTTCTGACAGCAGGAAAACGTGGTGTGTGGTAGCTTGAGTATAAGATATGAGTATGAGTAGCTGGGGCGGCAGCTCAGTTGCTGGAGGGTTGCCTAGAATACATAACACAATGCCCACGGTTAGTCCCCAGTGCCACATAAAACTGGGCACAGAGCCGGGCAGTTGGTGGTGCACGCCTTTAATCCCAGCACTCTGGAAGCAGAGGCAGGTGAATCTCTGTGAGTTCGAGACCAGCCTGGTCTACAAGAGCTAGTTCCAGGACAGCCACCAAAGTCACAGCGAAACCCTGTCTCGGAAAAAAACAAACACACAAACACACACACACAAACATAAACTGGGCACAGTGTCACGTGGCTGTAATCCTACCACTCAGGAGGACCAGAGATTCAAGACCAGTAGCAGCTATATAGTGCCAGGCAAGCTTGGGCTAAATGGAATTCTATCAAGGAAAAAAATAAAAAGGAAGAAGGAAGGAAGGAAGGAAGCCCATTGAGCCAGGCAAAGTAAGTAGTGGATATCTGTAACCATAGCACTCAGGAGGCTGAGGCAGATGGATGGGAAGTTCAAAACCAACCTAGGCTACATAACCACCTTCTCTCCCCTTTCAAAAATAAAATATAGAAAGCTATCCCTCTCAAAGATGTAATAAAAGAAGAATCCTAAAAGAGCAAGCTATTATATGGGAAACGTTTGGATAGTGAAGTAGGCAGGAAGACACAGCAGTAAATGAACTTTCTAGAAGTTGTACAGGACCCACACCCCCAATGCTGGGGATGAAGCCAACAACCTTGTGTGTATTACAAGTGGTAGAGCCACATCCCCAACCCTAGTACAGGACTTGTAAGTAGAACACAGAACAAAATGAACTAATTCTTACAACCACAGGTTCATTCATTTTCCCAAAGATAATACATTATTCATTTCATCCAAAAGGCCCAAGTGCAGATGTTACCAAGCCAGGATCAATGATTACTTTTAACAATAAAATTTTAAGTATAGCGGGGTGCTTGCTTTTAATTGCATCATTCAGGAGACAGGCAGATGGGTCTCTGTGGGCTCTAAGTTAGTCAGGGGTACAGAGTGAGACCTTGTCTCATACATAAATAAACAAACTGCTGTGGCTGTGTGATCAGAAGACAACTTGAAGTCAGTTCCCTTCCACCTGCACTGTGACCTCCAAGCTTCCATTGTCTGGGACTGAACTGACAGAGGGTTGGGAACCACCTTGTGGTGCTAGGAACAGAGCCTTGGAACCCAGACGCTCTAGAAGAGGAACAGCCAGTGTTTGTTTTGTCGAGACAGGGCTTCTCTGTGTAGCTCTGGCTGTCCTGGAACTCGCTCTATAGACCAGGCTGGTCTGGAACTCACAGAGATCCGCCTGCCTCTGCCTCCAGAGTGCTGGGGTTAAAGATATGAGCCACCATGCTATGAGCCTGGCTAACATACTTACATTGATGACCTTATATGTAAAGTAATAAATGTAAACATGTTTTGCCTTCATGTATGCATGTAGGTGCTTGGTATCCATGGACATCAGAGGGGCGCATCCGAGACCATAGGGAGCTGGGGATGGTTGAGCGACCGCTGAAGGCTTGGCCAACACAGTCAAGTGTTCCGAGATTGTGAGCCATCTCTCCACCCCTAAGTGAGTACAGAGGTCAGAAGAGGGTGTTGTGGCCCCTGGAACTGTTGTTACAGTTGGGAGCTGCCATGTGGGTGCTGAGATGAAGCCTGTCCTCTGAAGAGTGGCCAGTGACCATCGTCTCTCCAGCCCTCTGTAATAGAACTGTGTCTTCCCTTACTATGTCTGTAAGGGCATCCTTGGAACTGGAGTTACAGACAGTTGGGAGCTGCCACATAGGCCCAGGGAATTGAACCTGGCTCCTCTAGAACAGTTAGTGCTCTTAACCCACTGAGCCATCTCTCCAGTCTGTTTAGTCAAAATATTACAGGATCCTGAACACAGGATCTCACTACACAGTACACAGCACCAGATGGCCTGAAACTCACTCTGTAGAACAGGCTGGCATCACGCCCGGAAAGATCTGTCTGCCTCTGCCCCCTGGGTCACTAGAATTTAAGGTGTGCACCACTCTGCCTAGCTAAAAACATTTGCGACAGTGTCATAGCCCAGACTGGCCTTTAGCTCCTGATTCTTCTTCTGTGTCCTGTCCCAAGTGAGATCCTCAAACCTGCTTCCCAAATGCTGAAACTAAAGATGTGTGCCAGCAAGTGAGTTCCAGGACAAGCAGGACTGTTATACAGAAAACCAAACGAACAAAACGAAAAAAGGATGTGTGCCAGAACGCGGTATTAGATTCTTAGAACTCCTTATCTTCCATACATTTGACACCATTTTATTGCTTTAAAAAATGTGATCTGGAGTGACAATATTTATCCTTGGCTTTCCTTGGGACTTGTGGGGGAGTGTTTGTTGTCATGGAGGGACTACTGGGAAGGTCACAGCGTGCACAAGCACCACACACGAGTGTACACACACACACACACACACACACACACACACACACACACACACACACACCAGCTACAGCCATTAGATAGCATCACATCACAATACTTCTGCCTTCAAAGGCTAGGACTCTAGTGGGTTGACAGGTAGACTGGATGGCTCTGGGTAACAGAGAATGTTATCTCCTTGAGTGGGAGCCAGGATGGGGGAAGATTTGTGGACACATTCATATATAAGCACATGTACCTCAGCAATGAGGCCCCGATATCCGTTCCAGGAAGGAGATAGGGACCCCTAGTTTTTCCTGGACCGTGTAAACTCCTCCCCTGGAGTTTCTCCAGCCTTCAGATATGCACTTCCAGGGCATAGAAATCCCTCCTGATGTTCACATCACAGATTCCTTTTCACACGTGGCAGCGTCCCCGGCGGGTCCCCGGTATTGTTTGAGAAGGGGGTTCCCCTCCTCTGGGGCGAGGGGCAGTGGACTCAGAGGCATTTCATTCTTTACGTGGATCAACTCAGGCTCTGAGCTTGGCGTCTTGGTACGATCCACATAACTTTGAAGCAGCCCTGCCCCGAAGGCATCCCCTTCCACATTGATGATGGTACAGGACCTGTCCCTAAAAGGGCACAAACAATGACAAAGTGAGAAGGAAGTTGTTCTGGGAGACAGGGTCTCTCTACGTGACTTTCACGGAACTCACTATGTAGACCAGGCTGGCTTCAAACGCAGAGATTCTCCAGCCTCTGCCTCCGGAGGGCTGGGATCCAAAGGTGTGCACCACCACACCTGACATCCTTATTTTCTGAGATGGCATCTCTCACTGAATTGAACATGATCACATCAGTTAAGATTGGCTGGCCAATGAGCTAGAGACCCATCCATCCCTGTCAGGCCCAGGTTTTATATGGGTGGTAGGGATGCAAATTTAGGACCTCATACTTGTGTAGCACATACTTTACTCTCTTCCCATTGTACAGATGGGGAAATTGAGACACAGGAGAATTAAGGTCACATAGTTATGACAGAACTGAGCTTAAGCTGCCGGTCCTAGTAGTCATGGCTGCAAAGTCTGACAGCTCACTGCCTCTCTGGGCTTCCTTATAAAACCCAAAGATGGGCCAAGTATAGTGGTTCACACATCTATTTCTAGTACAACCAAGTCTGAGACAGGAAATGAGTTTGAGGCTTGCCTGAACTACACAGCGAATTCTAGAGCAGCCACGGTTACATGATGAGATACAGTCTCAAACAAACAAAACCACCCCAAAGCAAACAAAAATTGGCAAGATTATCCAGCAGGTAAAGGTGCTTGTTTTACAAGATTGGAGACTGGAGATGATCTCCAGAATCCAAACCAAAGTGGACAGAGAAAACCAATCGTAATGAAACATACCCCATCCCCTATCACAGAGGAACAATAATACATAACTTAATCATTATCACCACCATTTCTGTTTTGTTTTTTAAGATTTATTTATGCCGGGCATTGGTGGCACATGCCTTTAGTCCCAGCACTTGGGAGGCAGAGGCAAGCAGATCTCTGCGAGTTTGAGGCCAGCCTGGTCTACAGAGTAAGTGCCAGGATAGGCTCCAAAGATACACAGAGAAACCCTGTCTAGAAAAAAAAAAAGAATGTATTTATTATGTATACAGTGCATGCCAGAAGAGGGCACCAGATCTCATTACAGGTGGTTGTGAGCCACCACGTGGTTACTGGGGATTGAATTTAGGTCCTCTGGAGGAACAGTTCATGCTCTTAACCACTGAGCCAACTCTCCATCCCTGTTTTGCTCTGTGTTGAGACAAGTTTCTCTGTGCAGCCTTGGTTGTCCTGAAATCCTCTCTGTAGACCAGGCTGGTCTCAAACTCAGAAATACACCTACCTGCCCCTGCCTCCCGAGTGCTGCGATTAAAGATGTGCACTACCACCACCCACTGGAACATATGGAGATTAGGGTCCCACATGCTCCCTCTGGGACCTGTCTTGTCTTCCTTCCTGTGCTCAGAAGGGGAGTCCTCAGCAGCCCCCCGCAAACTCCCAAGGCCCCACTCACACTAGCCAGTCCACAGCCAAGACCCAGGTGATGTCCTTGACAGGGAGGCCGACGGCTTCCAAGATGATGGACAGCGTGAGGACACCCCCTGCAGGGATGCCTGCGGCCCCCACACTGGAGGCAGTAGCCGTGACCCTGGGGAGAGAAGAAATGTGAGAGGCTCCACCCACACCACGGGATGGGAAGTGGGGGAGGGGGCGGGGCTCCCGCGACAGCTCTGCGGAGGCACTCACAGGATGGTGATGATCTTCACGAAGTCCAGGGACACCCCATTTAGCTGAGCAATGAACACTGCAGCCACACACTGGAACAGCGCCGCCCCGTCCATGTTGACCGTGGCGCCGATGGGCAGGATGAAGCGGCTGATGTGTTTGGACACCCCGTTCTTCTCCTCCACACACTTCATCATCAGGGGCAGCGTGGCAGAGCTGATGGAGGGCATCAGAGAGCGAGCCCGGGTGAGCACTCCCGCACCGCAAAGGCTACTCCCAAGCTGAGGTTGTCACCTGCCACTGAGTGCCACTCACATCATCAGGAGACCCTGCCCACCTGCCAGAGCTCCCTTTCCTCCCACCATCTGGGGGAATCTTCCAGCTCTCCAGTGTCCTCCCTTCCCCAAAGCAGGCACCCAGGGTCCTGTGAAACAGGGATCCTGAGCCGTCCTTGGAGTACAATATGCTACGTATTCGAGGATTAAGATATGCTCCCTTTAGACCTGTCTCGTCTTTTTCCTGTGTCTGGAAGTCTTCAAACACCCACAAAAAGCTGGATGTAGTGACACAAGCTTGTAACCTCAACACCTGGGAAGCCGAGGACCAAGTTTCTTTGTGTGTGTGTGTGTGTGTGTGTGTGTGTGTGTGTGTGTGTGTTCCTCCAAGTCAGGGTTTCCCACTATGCAGCCAAGGCTGGCCTGGAACTTGCTATGTAGACCAGGCTGGCTTCAAAGAGATCCACTTGCCACTGACTCCCAGGTGCTGGGATTAAAGCGCCACCGCACCCAGCAAGGATTCCAAGATTGAGAGCAGCCTGGGCTAACATAGTGAGACCTCCTCTGGAAATAAAGAGGGCTGGAATATAGCTCAGTGGTTAAGCATGTGACTGGAACCCATGGCTCCCTGTGGAAGGGCCCATGCAAAAGGTCATGGTTTCAACCCAAAGCACCACAAAAAGGGAAAAGGAGGCTGACTATGGTAAAGGTGTTTGCTGCCAAGCTTGACAACCTGAGTTCAAGCCCAAGAGTAGGAAAAAAGGATCCCCTCCCTCAAGTCGTCCACCGGACCTCCACACATGTCCAAACACACACAAGAATAAATGTTTTTGTTGTTTCGGTTTTTTGGTTAAGAAAAAAGAGGGGGGGGGAGATGGCTGTAGTTGTACAAACACGAAGACCAGAGTTCAATTCCCGATTCCCATGTAAAAAAAAAAAAATCAGTCACGCAGTACAAATGTCTGTCTAGCACCCCTACAGGAGGTAGGGATCCCAGGAACTTGAAGGCCTGCTCGCCTGAGCAAGAGGAGAAACAAAGAGGGTGTTCTCTGACTTACAGGCACTCACACGTATATGACACATACAAGAAAAGAAAACAGGCCGGGCGGTGGTGGCGCACGCCTTTAATCCCAGCACTCGGGAGGCAGAGGCAGGCGGATCTCTGTGAGTTCGAGGCCAGGCTGGACCAACAGCCTCCAAAACAATACAGAGAAACCCTGTCTTGTAAAACCAAAAAAAGAAAAAGAAAACAGAAAGAAAAAGAGACTAAGTAGTGCTCTCATTTCTTTCAAGGGCAGTGGAACCCAGGACCCCAAGCAACTGATAAGGGGTCTGGAGAGATAGAACGGTGGTCAGGAGCAGTGACTGCTCTTCCAGAACCCTGGGTTCAATTGCCAACACCCACAAGGCAGCTCACGGCTGTAACTACAGTCCCAGGAGAATCAGACACTCTCTTCTTGCCTCTGTGGACATACATACACTGATACACATAAAACACAAAGGTTATCACAGAAAAGAACTGAATTAAAAAAAAAAAAAAAGAACATCTGTGACCACACCAAATGACCCTTTAAGTCACAACATTTCACAGGTCTTCAGACACCACTACCGACTCCCAGACCCCTACTACAGGCCTCACCTAGAAGACGTCCCAAAAGCTGTGGCCAGTGGCGTCATGATACCCCACAGGAATCGGTAGGGGTTTTTGCGGGTGAAGATGAAATAGATGAGGGGCAGAACCAGGAGTCCGTGGATGGCGTGACCCAGGAGGCAGCACAGGATGTACTTGCCGAGTCCGATGAAGACCTGGCGGACGTCTTCCATCTCCACAATCTTTCTGGCCACCAGGAACAGGATGCCCACAGGGGCGTACCTGATCACCACAGAGACAGATTACAGCGCTGACCCCATGACTGCTGTCCCAGCCAGTCCCGGTGCTCAGCACCTCAGCTGACCTCGCCACCCAGCCTCTCCCTCAAGTCCGGAGTTGCCCAGGGCACCACTCCAAGACCGGCCTCTGGGAAACTCGGCTACCTGTAGACTCGCTTCTTCCCTTTGAAGGTGGCACAGCTGTAAGACAAAAGCCTGCTCGTCCACATCCCTGCCAGAACAGGTGCACACTGCATTAAATGAAAGAAGTGCCCACCGCTCTGAGTCACTTGCTTTCTGGGTTTGCAGCTTTAACAAGCAGCTGCTGCCAGAAACACACTCACAGGTTAAAAAAGAAAAAAGAAAAAGGTGTGACTAGGTCACGCTAACTCCCAGTGGCATCTGCAATGTGCCCTAAGCCTTTGATCATGGCTCACTGACAAGCCCACTAGGGAGTTCCTGTGACAAGCATGTCAGTCGCAGCTGGCAGAGCCACCCCTGAATATGCGTATTAAAACGGACTACAGAGCTGCTAACCCAGACACTTGGATACTAGCCAAGTCCAAGGCCAGGGGTTGGGCAGATGGCTCAGCAGTTAAGAGCTGCTTTTCCACAGGATCCAGGTTCGGTTTCCAAAACCCACATCAGGTGGCTCACCGCAGCCTGGAAATCCAGCTCCAAGGGATCTGGTGTTCTCTCCCGACCTCAACTGATACCGAATACACATGCTACACAGAAATACATGCAGGCCAAATAGCCATACACATAAAATTCTTTATATCCCCCCAGTGAGGGGCTTGGAAGTGTGGCCCAATGGTAGGGCTCCTGCCTAGATTTCCCCAATGAGGGGATGTGGCCCACTGGTAGAGCCCCTATCTAGAATCTCGAGGGGCTGGGGCGTGGCTCAGCGGTAGCTCCAAACCCTGCTTTTTTAGTCTTTGCCACAAAATAAATAAACAAAACACCAACCAGGCAAGGTAATACTACTAACTCAGAATTGCTACAGGATGAAGTGACACTAGCTGGGAGGCATTTGTATACAGTTCCGCTTCTGGTCCAACAATCATCCTGTCTCCTAGAGCAAAGACCCCAAGATGCACTTGCTGTCAGCTAGGCTTCCCAATACCCTCCTGCCTAGCTGTCATGGCTGATGGTCTCCTCGGCTCTTCTCCTTTACAAAAAAGCGAGGCACCGGTTCCCACCCACCCCTGCAACTAGGGAGAGCCGGTTGGCCAGGTCCTAGTCACTCAGACTTGCCCAGAAATTTTCTAAGTGCAAACACTTAAATAAATATTGGCCGCTGTTTACTCTAGGAATGGGACAGACCAGGTACTGTCCTGAGAACAGTACACATATTAACTCCTTTGTGATCTCTGGAGCAGCTGCCAGGGGCCCCAATGCCTACGGAGAAACGCAAGGCCCAGGGAAGTTCCATCTAACACCCAGCTGGGAACGGGCAGCACCAGGGTGGGAAATCGAGCCGCCTCGGGAGCCGTTCTCAATCCCATTCCCATCTGGCTACTCCAGCGGTGATCTTCCCGATCAAGACACACTAGGGGTATGGATGTGACTCGGCAGTGGAGCCTAGAACCTGCCCCAGACCCAGTGAAGGGCTGGGGACATGGCTCAAAGAGGACTCAGCATTACTTGATTCTGGGTCAGATCCCGGCACCACACACAGTACTAATTGTGGGAGTGAACGCCTGTGTTCCCCTTGCTTGGGTGCAGAAGTAGGGGAACTGAGTTTGAGGCAAGCCTGGGCTACATAGTGAAATGCTATCTCCAAAAAAATCATACCCAATGAGCATGGCCTTTTCTGGTTTATCTGTTGTTTTTTTGTTTTGTTTTGTTTTTTGAAAACAGGGTTTCACTACGTAGATGTGATGGCCCTACAACTCACTATGTAGAACCCACTTGCGTCTGCCTTTCGAGTACTGAGATTAAAGACATGTTTCACCATGCCTGGCTAAAAGTTCTCCATTTTATCCTACGTGTATGAGTGTTTTGCCTGAATGTAGGTCTATTCACCATGTATATACCTGGTACCCTAAAATGGCAGTAGAGGGGGTCTGATCCCCTGGAGCGGGAGTTACAAATGGTTATGAGCCACCATGTGGGTGCTGGGACTCAAACCTGGATTGTCTGGAAGAGCAGGGAACGCCCATAATCCCTGAGCCATTTCTCCAGCTACTGGAAAGTTACTTTTACTTTTCTTAAATATTTTATGTGTAATGGGGCTTGTTCATATGTCTTTGTACCACATGGGTGCAGTGACCACACACTCCAGAAGGGGACAATGGACCCCTGGAATTGAAGTTAGAGATGCTCACAAGCCACCCAATGGATTCTGGGTACCAGACCCGGCTCCTCTGGAAGAGCTGCCAGGACTCTTAACCACTGAGCGCTCTTCTCTAGTCCCAAACAAGCTCTGGCTTTTTTTAGGGGGTTGTTTGTTTTGGGACAAGGTTTCTCTGTGTAACAACAGTCCCGACTGTCCTGGAACTCTCTTTATGGACCAGGTTAGCCTCGTACTCAGAGATCCACCTGCCTCTGCCTCCAGAGTGTGTTTGGTTTTTTTTTAAGTCGCCAGCTTTTCTTTTCTCTCAATTTCTGCCCTTTAGATCCAGCTCAGGTAGGCGGAGACAATGTGAGACCAGAAGGACAAAGAGGAAACCAAAGGCATCTGCGTGTGGTTTTTGCTTTCATTTCCTGAAGTCGTTTAACGAAAACCAAAGGACAGCATTCACACCAGTGACTGCACAGGGGGTGGAACGCAGGTGCCCTGGGCAGCTGTGGGGCAAACTCCGTGACCCCGTGGCCCCGGATAAACTCTTTTCCTGTGCTTCCGGGATTCACCTACACTTCACGGCAACCGGGCACCACCATTTCAAGACCCTTAATTTAAAAGGAACCGTGCTGTTACACGCATCGGTTTGGCTGCCTTCCATCACCTTCTAGTATGATCAAGAAGGCAAATGCATCAATCCCAGTAGCCATGGGATACAGAATGGTGACCATTTTACAGAGGGGGAAACTGAGGCACGGAGAAGGCAAGCCGCTCATCCAAGGTGGCAAAGCCAGGAAATGGTAGACTCTAGATTCTAATGAAGTTCCCCTCAGGCTCCCATGGGAGCACAGGGAGGCTTCCCCATATCGTACAACGGACATGCCCACCCCTTGTCCCCACCACCTACCACATAATCCAGGAGACCAGGACCATGGTGGCATCATTGAAGGAGTTGAAGAAACGAATGAGCAGTTCGCCCTCAGGTCCCAGCTTCCTCAGGGCCACACCGAAGACGATGGCGAACACCACCAGGCCCAGGATGTTCATGCCCTCTTCCTCACATCCCAGCTTTGGGAAAAGAGCAGAGCAGGGTGGAAGAAGAGAGAGCATTAGCCCATCTGCACAACCACTTGTCTTACGCCCTGCAGGGACCCAGGAAATGAGGTCAGGGGTCACCCACAGGGAGTTGAGTCCTGGTGATTTTTTTTTTGTTTATCAGCTTTATACAAGCTAAGCTCATCTGGGGAGACGGAACTACCGCAAATAAGAAAAAGCCTCTATCAGACAGGCCTGCAGGCAAACCTGTGCAGCATTTTCTGGATTAATAGTTGATGTGGGAGGGACCAGCCCACTGTGGTGGGTGCTGCCACCCCTGGGTGGGTGGGTGGTTCTGGATTCTATAAGAAAGCAGGCGGAGCAAGCCATGGAGAGCAAGTCAGTGAGCAGCACTTCTCTCAAGCCGGGTGTCCTGCTTGTGACCCCTCTAAACTCCAGCCACAAGGGATCAACTCCTTGCTGGCCTCCGTGCTCGAAAACAACACACTTCAATCAATTGGTCTCTAAAATAAAGGGGGGAAGCCGGGCGATGGTGGCGCATGCCTTTAATCCCAGTACTCGAGAGGCAGAGGCAGGCGGATCTCTGTGAGTTCGAGGCCAGCCTGGTCTACAGAGCGAGTTCCAGGACAGCCTCCAAAGCCACAGAGAAACCCTGTCTCGAAAAAAAACCAAAAAAAAATAAAAATAAAAAAAAATAAAGGGGGGAATACTGCTATAACTCAGTGGGTAAAGGTACTTGCCACCGAGCCTGATTCCCCAGGAAGAGCCTGCCCATCGGAAAGAACTGACTCCAAGTTGTCCTCTGACCTCCAGTGAGCACCCTGGTACGTGCCCCCTCACACTCGACGCAAGTTTTAAAAGCAATAGAAGGCTGTAGAGAGGATCCTACCCACTCTGGCTAACAGGAAATGAACAGGGCGGACAAAGTTTCAAGATGAGGCTGAGGGGATGGGGGAAAATAGAACATTCTAGAGGGAAGGGGGACATGGGCAATGGACAGGATTAGACTTGCACCGCAGACAGGTGGGAGAGAGGATGGGATCGGCTAGAAGGGTGCAGAAGGGAGGTGTGACTCAGGACTGGAGGCTTGCCTAGCAAGCATTAGGAACAACTGATCTCCAGAACCTCAGGAGACACTAAGGACTATGGAATTCCATTGGTCTCCTATAGCCAAGGCTGGCCTCTGAATATCCAGAGATAACCCTGAACTCGATCCTCCCGCCACCAGTCACACGCCACCAGTTCTGGTTTACGTGGTGTTAGGGACTGAGCCTGGGTGGGTCACATTCACGCTAAACAAACACTCCACCCACTGAGTGACATCCCCAGCGCCAAGGACCTACAGACTCTGAATCAAATTTCACACTGTCATTTTTTTGGGGTGGGGGTGGCAGAAGACTTGGGCAGCCTGAGAAGCCACAGCGGGCACGTGACAGAGCTTCCTCAGCCCTTGTCCTGCTCACCTGGATCATGGTGGCGTTGTACTCTCTCCATGAACAGCTGGTAGTCTGCTGTAGACAGGGTTGGAAGGATCAGTGAGTGTCATGCTAACTGCCAGCATGGCTCCCGGCTACCATGCTGGAACAGCAGTACCCAAAACCTGCTCCACCGCCCCCTCTTTTTAGATAGTCTCTTGTAGCCCTTGCTGGCCCAGAACTCCCTATGTAGCCAAGGATGACCCTGAACTCCTGGAGTGTCTATACTCCTATGTACTGCTGGGATCACCGTGCAGTGTTGGCAAATGAAACCCGAGCTAACACGTAGCTGGCCCAGTGGCAAAGCTCGTAGGACCCCACCCACACCTCAGCTCACCTTTGTCTCAGATGTTTTCGATGCGTATGAGGTTGCATACTGCAGATGGGGTGAGGGAAAAAGAAATCAGTGTCAGATGTCACCAAAGCTGCCACGCACCACACTAGGAACAAAGTCACAAACCGGGCCCAGGCATCCTTAGCTCCACCCTTCCTTTCTCTTTCAAAGACAGGGTCTTATATAGCCCTGGCTGACTCCTAATTCCCTATGTAGCCAAGGATAACCCTGAGCTCCCAGTCCCTCCCCATCCACTTCCCAAGCGCTGGAAGTGAGGGCCCTCACGCCCAGTTTCATTTATTTAGACACTGTCTCACTCGAGAGGCAAAGGCAGGCAGATCTCTGTGAGTTCGAGACCAGCCTGGTCTACAGGAAAGCCTGGTCTACAAGAGAGTTCCAGGGCAGCCCCCAAAGCCACAGAGACACCCCGTCTCAAAGCACACACCCCGAAAAGACACTGTCTCCCTGTGTCGCCTCAACCCGCTATCCTCTTACCTCAGCCTTCCCGAGCCAGTATTACACACTCCACCAAGACTCTCCTACACTCTCATTTCCTTCTTTTTAAAATTTAATTGTGTGTGTGTGTGGGTGTGTGCGCGCGTGTGTGCACATGTGAGCACCAACCCCACTCCCCCACCCCGTGTGTGTGTTTGGAGGTCAGGGGAAAACTGTGTGTCCCCGGAATCAAAATCAGGTTTTCAGGCTCCCACTGCTGTCTGGCCAGGGCCCCAGAGTCTCATCTCTTAATGGAAAAGGCATGGATGAGTCTCCTTGGCGATCCAAAAGCCCCCTTGGCTACACCCCTTTGCTACACCCCGGTTTCCTGTTCTCTGTCCATCCCCAGCCCATTGCTAACCCTTAGCACACCCCGGAGGACTCACAGTGCGGAACGCAGCAGACACCAGATTGGAGGGGAAAATATTCCTGCAGAAATAGACACTGTTGTTAGGCGCTGTCGTGGGAGAGTGGTGATGGGAATTTCTTTCTTGTTCCTGGCTGTTTAAGAAAGTGTCCCAGGTAGCCCAGGCTGGCCTCAAGCTTAATATGAAGCTGAAGGTGACTTTAAACTTCTGATTCTTCTGCACCTACCTACCAAGTAGTAGGATTACAATCACACTCGTTACAACACACACCCTATATGTAACTGTTTTTTAAGATAATGTCTCACCTCCCTCTGCCATTGGGCACACCACCATGCCAGGCCATAAACATTTACTGGGGGGTGGGCATGTGTGCCCCTACTGCTTTGTTTTCTCCATTTATTGTGTGGGTCTCAGAGGTCAAACCCAGTCCATCAGGCTTGGCAACAAAAGTACCTTAAGCCTGAACCTCATCACACACTCCCCTAATCCTCTAATTAATTCATTTATTCTTGCCATGTTAGAGATCGAACCCAATGACCTGGTCACTCTCTACCACTTAACCACATTCTCTGTCCTCTTTTTATTTTTTGAGACAGGGTCTTGCTAAGTCACACAGGCTGGCCTGAAACTGTGGTAAGCACAGGCTTGCCTCAGACTTGTGATCTGTCAACTCCCTGGAGCAGCTGGAGGACAAGATAGTTCAACACCAACAGGCCAGGATGTAGGAGTCTCAACTGGCCTCTCCTGGCCCCAGGAAGCTGGTGTTTCAGAACCAAAGGTTTGTGGGTTAAGGAAAAAACAAACCAAAACCGGGCTTTTAAGAGGCCAGCAGAGGCAGGGTCACACCAGGCCTCAGCTCCACGCCCCTGCAACCATTTAATACCCTGGGTGTCTTGCATCAGCTACTTCCTGGAGAGCTGAGGACAGGGCAGTCCCCAAGGGGCAGGCTGGTGGGTTGGAGAGCATGGGGGGGAGGACCTGGGCATGATGAATCGTGGCCGTCAGAGGCTAAGATCTGGTGACAAGGGACGGCTGTTCCGGTCATGAATATGCATCTGTCCTTGCGTGACCGTGTGTGTGGCGGGCGTTTGCCATGTGTCAGGTGGCACGGCTACTGTTTTACATAGCCAACGCCTTTTTAACTGAAGAGGGCTGCAGGTGTATTGCTGCAGGCTTGGGGGCAAAACTCCACACACACTCGCATACGGGGGGGTGTGTTAACTTAAGCACAGAAGGGCAAGAAACTTGCCCAAGGAAATGACAGGTGGGATTTTTGTTTGTCCTTGTTCTTGTAGCCCAGGATGGCCTAGAACTCCTGATCCTCTTGCCTCCATCTCACCAGTGCTGGGTCTTAGAGGCCTGAGGCCACTGTCTGGCTTGTACTACCCTCTAGAACATGGGCTTAAAGCTTTTATGCGACTAGTGGCATCACTGAAAGCGGCTCCAAGCTGGGCTGCAGTGATGGCCACCTGGTCTACAGAGCCGAGTTCCAGGACAGCCGGGGTTACACAGAGAAACCCTGCCTTGAACACTCCCCCAAAAGTGTCTCTATAAGAGTGCTAGTGGTGGGGGGATCCAGATGACGATTCCCAGCATACACATGGCAGCTTACAACCACCTGTAACTACAGGCCCAGAGAATCCTTATTGGCATCTGCCAGCGCCGGGCACACGTGGTGCACAGGCATACAGGCAGGCCAGACATTCATACACATATGATAATAATAAAAACATAGAGTGTGCCGGGCATTCCTGCGCACGCCTTTAATCCTAGCATTTGGGAGGCAGAGGCAGGTGGATCTCTGAGTTCCAGACCAGCCTGTTCTACAGAGTGAGTTCCAGGACGGCCTCCAAAGCTACAGAGCAACCCTGTCTGGGGGGGGAGCAGCAAAGTGTCAAAGTGTGCAGCCCCCTGCCTGTATGTGTGCCACGTGTGCCGAGGTGCGATGTGTTTACCTGCCTGCCAGCTGACGTGTTCTTGGCTAAGACCGAGGGTGGCCAGCCAGCCAAGCGCATTCCAGCTGTTTTGCTTGGGTGGGAGGGAAAGGCTCAGTTCATAAACAGCCTGAAGGTGGGTGTGCCCGCTGGCAGTCCAGGGCAGGGCCCAGGACCCAGCTAATCTCCACCAGCCAGGAGGCACTCATTAGGGACAAGAAGAGCCCAGACAGTCCTCCATCTCAGTCCCCACCGTGGCCCAGAAACAGAGGATGCCCTGTTTCTGACTCACTTTTTCCTCCGCCCCTTCTCTTTTCCTTCCAGGAAGTCCCCAATCTGAAGACCTCATGGCAAGGCCACGTGGACCGGAGTCTAGAGTCCTGGGGGGAAGGGGGCCCGAGAAGGCTAAGGATCACTCCCCACACTGGGGGAGGTTCTACAGGGAGTGTGCCGGAGGTAGAGAGACGGTAAGCCAGAGAGAAGGCACAGGGAGGCTGGCTGGCCGAGAGAGAGCAAGAAGCTGTGTCTGAGTGGCGTGCAAAGACACTCATCACTGGGAACCAGGGAGCCCCTTACATCCCCATTAGCCTCCAACTACTCCTGACAGAGTACAGAGGCCTTAGACCTTTACCCAGGAGCCCTATCTCTGTTCCCTTTGCCATCCAAAAACTCCCTCCCAATAGTTTGCACAGCTGTTTTTCTTTTTTGTGGAGCTGCATACTTTTTTTTTTGGAGGAGGGCTTGACTCTGGCTCTTTTCCTTAGACCTGTATCTCTTTAGACACCCCCCCATACACACACACACTTTGCAAGTCGAGGAAGCAGGCTGAGGCAGAACTACTAGGAGAGCAGCCTGAGCTACGTAACAGGCAAAATGATGCTCTGTTATCCCAGGCACGTGGGAGATGGAGGCAGGAAGATCGGGCGTTCGAGGCCATGCTGGGCTGTATGAGACCCTGTAACTTGTCTCCAAAAACATAGCAAGACTAGGAAGGGTTACTCTTCTTTCTTCCTCTATAAGCCCTTCTTGTGTAGACCTGCCCCCAAATTCAGGGAACTTCCGTAAAAATTCACCCTTCCAACGTGATAGAGGTCCTGTTAGCACTACCTTGGGTTTCCCTAGACTCTAGAAGGCGTGTCTCACTGGGGGGGGGATCTAAAGCCCCCCCCACTCGTGGTGACACACACGTAGAATCCCTGCACTCGAGAGGGGGAAGTAGTAAGATTACCATGAGTTCGGGGCCATCCTGAGCTACATAGATTTAGAAAAAAAGGATCCTTCCCTCCCTCGAACCATCGTTGTCGCTTGCACCGGGCCCTTCCCACCACAATCCCCGGCGGGAACACACCTCACGAGATCCAGGAAGGAATCCAGCACCTCCTTGGTGGGTGCTTTGGGGACACTGGTGCCTCCGATCGTGCCGTTGTTAGCGGTAAAGGCGACGCCGGGCTTCAGCGCCAAAGCCAAACCCACGCCGAGCGCGGACGCGAGCAGAGTGGTTAGCATGAAAAAGAGCAGCGCCCAGGCGCCCACACGGCCCAGCGCGCTAGGGTCCAGGCTGGCCGCACCTCCGATCAAGCTGCACACCACCAGCGGCAGGATGATCATTTTCAGCAGACGCAGCAGCAGCTCTCCCGGGAAGCCGAAGGCGATCAAGCGCGCGGGGCCCAGCGCTTCAGCACCGCCCGACGCCGAGACCCCCAGCCCTATCACCACGCCGGCCACCACCGCCGCCACCGTGAGCAACACCAGCAGGTTGGCGCGAAGGCAGCGGCGCACCTGGTCCCAGGAACCGCAGCAACCACCTGCTTTGGCGCCTTGGTCTTCTCCGGAGCCCAGCGCCGGGGCACCGTTGGCGGTGGGATCCACCGCCATCACCCCTTTGGTGTCGGTCTTAGGGGGATCCACAACCATGCTGAGCCGCGATTGGGGGGTTCCTTGAGCGCCTGGAGACTGGGTGCAATGTTCCTGAGGCGGAGAGTCGAGGCGGGAACTTTGCAGGGGGTCCTTGAAGTCGTGGGTCCGCTGGCTCTCGAAGGCTGGAGGGTCCTAAGCTCCCTAGGCTGTGCGCCGAGACCCCTTTTCTTTCCCCAGTGGTATCGGACCCCCGAAAACTGGGAATTGAGAGCGCCTGCGCTGGTTTTCTTTTGGGGGGCAGTTCTTCAGACCAGGACGTGGGGATCTTTGGCTCCGGGAAGGCTTGAGGACGCCCAAGTGGCTGAGGTCTTCAAGAAGCTCAATCCAGGTGGCGTAGATCCGGGATGCCTCCTGGCTCCAGGAGCCCGGGATCCCAGGGTTAGGGCTCCTGGCTGTCGGTCCCGGGATACTGGAGTCCTAGGAAGAGGAGACTGAGGATCTCCCGTCCTGGAGAGGAAATCAGATTCTCAAATGCAAATAGACAGCAGCCGGAGGATGTGGAAAGTGGCGCCAACGAGCTCTGAAGAAAACACCTCCCAGGCGACCCGCCGCGTGGCTCTGAGGCGGCTGGACGGAAGCGATTAGGATTAAAGGCAGAGGGCGGGGCTTGAGAAGGCGGAGGCCAACCCGCGAGTGCTGATTGGTTAGAGAGCGTTCGGCGCCAGGCGGCGAGCGAGGGGCGGGACCAAGATCAAAGAGGGGCTGCTCCCACAACCAAGGCTGAATAACAATGCCTAGACGGGGGCGGGGCCCGAGAGGGGGTGGGGCCAGAGAGGATGCAAAGGCGTCCGAAAGGGGCGGGACGTTGGGAAGCTCTACCAATCCACACCCACCCACATCCATCTCAACCCTGCTAAAGGACTCTAGCTGTGGGTTGTAGCCGCGGGACCTCTAGAAAGGGCAGGTAGACATTGAAAGGCTAGTTTTCTTTTTTGTTGTCTTAGGCTTTGTTTTTATTTTTGAGACAGGGTGTCATGTAGCCCAGGCTGACCTTGAAGTGTTCTTGCCTCAACCTCTCAAATCCTGAGATTACAGGCCTGGACCACCACGCTCCTCTCTATTTAAAAAGTACTTTCAGAAGGATAAACCAGGTGGTGGTGGCATATGACTTTAGTTTCAGCACTCCTCGGGAGGCAGAGGCAAGCGGATCTCTGAGTCTGAGTCCAGCTTGGTCTACACAATGAGTTCCAGAGCAGCAGCCAGGGCTACACAGAAAAATCCAGTTTCAAAAAAACAAACAAAAAAAGGAAGGAAGGAGAAAGAGAGGGAGGGGAGGAGGGAGGGAGGGAAGGAAGGAAAAAGTCCCAGGGTGCTACCCTGAGAGATGGCTCAGCCATTAAGAGCATTTGCTGCTCTTGCAGAAGACCAGAATTGCATTCTGACAGCTCCACACTCTTCTGGCTACTGCGGGCACTCCATGAACGTGGCATGAATATATACATGTAGGCAAACATTCATATAAAATATAAATCTTGCCGGGTGGTGGTGGCGTATGCCTTTAATCCCAGCACTCAGGAGGCAGAGGCAGGCGGATCTCTGTGAGTTTGAGGCCGGGCTGGACCAACAGCCTCCAAAACAATACAGAGAAACCCTGTCTCGTAAACCCCCCCAAAAATAATATATATATATGTATATATATATATATATATCTCTCTTTTTAAAATTCGGGGGAGTCCGGGCTGGAGCATTTTTCATTCCCAGCACTCAGGAGACAGGACAGGAGGTTGATAATGGGAAGGATTCTTTTTTTTTAAATTTATTTATTTATTACATATACAATGTTCTGCTTACATGCCAGAAGAGGACACCAGATTGAATTGTAGATGGTTGTGAGCCACCATGTGGTTGCTGGGAATTGAACTCAGGACCTCTGGAAGAGCAGGCAGTGCTCTTAACCTCTGAGCCATCTCTCCAGCCCGGGAAGGATTCTTAATTCAAGATCAACCTCAGATAGCAAGTCTGAGTGAGACCAGCCTGATACTAATACAAGACCTTGTGTGTGTGGAATCCATTTGTGTGCTGACAGGTCCATCTGCCCGCAAGTGGGTGTGCAGAGGCCAGCGGTGGACACCAGGTATCATCCTTGACTGTCCTCCCCTTTATTTTTTCACAGAGTCTGAGCTCATCGATTTTGGCTCGGTTTGGGGCTAGTAAGACCCTGAGGTGGTCCTGTCTGTGTCTGCTGTCACCAGTCATTTACAGGAACCCTGGGGATTTGAACTCCAGTTGTCATGCTTGAACAGCAAATCATCTCCATAGCTAGAAGAAATGACCAAACAGTCACAGATTGGGTACTCCCTACAGGAGAGCGGCAGATACAACACACACACACACACACACACACACACACACACACACACACACACACACACGCACGCACGCACGCACACACACAAATAAATGTAACAAACAAGAACTTTTGAAAAATTGGCCTTAGGCCAATTCACCACAAAGTCTACTTAGTCTAAACACTGTCACCCTTCCAAGAATAAGAGCAATAGACTCAGAGAGAAGGAAGGAGGCCTCCTGAACCCAGAGTCCTGGGGACGGGTAGGCTGAGTGTCAGCCAGGAAAATGATGTTGAAGGGTGGGAATTAGGATTGGCTGAGAGTGTTCTGCCCCACTGCCTGCCCCTGGTAAAAGAAGAAACACATAAACTGGTTCCAGCCAGCTCTCTTCCCACTGGCCCAACCTCCTACCCGGATTCCTTCAGATTTCATCAGTGGTAGAAAGCTTCCCAAAGGGTGAGAGACTGGGCTGAGCCATGGGGAGCCAAGAGGCCCTGCCAGGACTCTGTTGACCACCTGGGAAATGCCCTGAAGGGTGCTTCTCCTAAGAAGTCTGGTGTCTGCCGTGGGAGGAACAGAGGACCCTTCAGGGCTCAGTCTGCTCTTCGAGCCTTCTAGGCAGGACCTCACCCACAGCTCTTGCTCAGGCCTGCAATCTTAACTATGGGAGGATTCCAAGTTCATGACCAGCCTGGAGCACATGCAGTGACACCAAGAATAAAGATGGGCTTGAGGGGCAGGAGGAGGAGACTAGCCTAAGAGACAGAGAGAGGGCAGGGAGGGCTTGTTGGAGGAGGAGGAGGCATCCATATCAGCTTTTGAAGGATGGGACCAAGCAATTGGAATCCCAGCACTCAGGAGACTGAGGCAGGAGGATTGCTGTAACTCTGAAGAAGCTAGTCTGGGCTACTAGTGAGTGCCAGGCCAATCTGGCCACACCATAACACCCTGTCTCAAACACAAAAAAAATATATGGAGGATGTATTATATAGGTTTTATGGAAATATTATAGCACCTTCTCTTTATTAAAAAGTTTTATTACATTTCTTTATTTACCGTGTGCATGTGCATGCCCATGAGGCCAGAGGACAACTTGCATTATTAGCAGTTTCTCTTGTCCTACCATGTGGGTCCTGGGGATTGAACTCAAGTCTTCAGCTCGGCAGCAAGAAAGCCCCTTTTCTCGCTGAGCCTTCTCGGCCACCCTGTCTCTGTATTGTCTCCCTGGCAGCCATGTTTGCCTGGCTTAGTAAGACAGGCAAGCCTTCACCACACACGGCCCTGTTGTGCTTTTGTTTCAGATCCCATGATTCATTAGATTAAACCCAATTCCAGGACTATACACGGGACACAGGGAGTTAATTACATAAATTATCCATTTCCTGCGGGCCTTTCAAACCTGCATCAGCACCAGGTGATTTCAGCAAGGCCAACAGCCCCTGCTGGGAGACCCGGAAGCCCCTGTAGCCACGGGGTTCCTGCAGAACTTGTAGACGGCTTTGCCTAAGCACAGGGCTTTTGAAATCTGCAACAGAAAGAAGCCCAGGGGTGAAGAAAATGAGGCTGAAACATGGAATCAAAAGGGACCCTTTTTTTTTTTTTTAACCAATATTGAACTTTTCAGGAATTTAACTGCACAGGCTGTAAAAGAAAAAAGACCCGGAAGGGAGAGGGGGGGAAGGAAGAAATGAGGGAGGAGGAAGGTGAGGCAAATCTATTAGAGTCAGCGTAGGTACCAGCAGTGGACAGCAAGCAAACCTTTGATTTTGCATTTTATTTAACTGTATTATTTTATGTGTGTGGGTGTTTCACCGGTATGTGTGTCTGTGTGCCATGACTGACGTACTTAAGACGCCAGGAGAGGGCATGGGATCCCCTGAAACTGTAGTTACAGCCGGTTGAGAGGTGCCATGTGGGTGGTGACAACTGAATCCGGGTCCTGTGGAAAAGAAGCCTTCTTTCCCACCTCCAACACTTCATCTTCGAAACCCAGTGGGAAGCTGGGACTGTTTGTGATCGCTCTGGAACCTACCCTCTCCCCACTGAAACAGCCTGAGGAGGGGAAGGAGAAATCATTTGTTTTTAACTTTTTTGTGAGAATATTCTTTTTAAATTAATTTCCGTGTGTGTGTGTGTGTGTGTGTGTGTGTGTGTGTGTGTGTGTGTGTGTGTATGTGTGTACAGGTGCTCACAACTTTAAGGAGTCATTTCTGTTATGGTGAAAGCCTGGACTACCAAGGGAGTTCCAGGACAGCCTCCAAAGCCACAGAGAAACCCTGTCTCGAAAAAAAAAAAACCAAAAAAAAAAAAAATTACAAAGTCAGAATGACTAATAACCGAGCACTTGGGAGGCCGAGACAGGAGGACTGACAGAGTCGATTTGGGCTACGGGGAGCCTCTGTTTCCATAATAAAAAAATAAAAATAAATTAAAATAGGGCTCAGAAATACAGAAATACAGCTCAGTGACAGCTTACCATGCACAAGGCCCTGGTATCTATCCATAGCATCCTCAGAATCAGCTAAATAAACAACCAACAAAGAACCTAAAGGGAGAGAGAATGGGGCTATTGTTTAGGACTAGGCTGCTGCCCTGGGACCCAAAGACCTAGGCATGAAAGTGGAGCATATGCCTGAAAAGATGGCTCAGTGGGTACAGTGTCTGCTGTGTGCTTGCTTGAGGACCTGTGTCCTAGCCCCAGCGCCCAGATGAAAAATTACGGGACTGGTGATTCGCACCTGTAATCCCAGTACGGGGAAGGCAGAGAACCCATCCTGGCCGAATCAGTGGGTTTCAGGCCAATGAGGTGCTCTCCCAGCCTGCCTTCAGGGACTCAGCGCCATTGGCCACGTCATCACCAGCCACCAGCGCCAAATGCGATGTGTGGAGCCTTTAAAAGGTCCCTGCCCTTTAATCCCAGCACTAGGGAGGCAGAGGCAGGTGGATCTCTGTGAGTTCGAGACCAGCCTGGTCTACAAGAGCTAGTTCCAAGACAGCCTCCAAAGCCACAGAGAAACCCTGTCTCGAAAAACCAAAAAACAAAAAGGTCCCTGCCATCACAGACTGCTCTCTTGCTCTCTTGGCATCTGTCTGTCTGTCTCTCTTGTCCCAGCTCTGAGATTCTGAGATGGCCTTTCGTGCCCCATTCCCCGCTTAAATCTCTACATGGCCAGATGTGGTTCGTGGTGTGATCTTTGTGGCATACCTTGGCCCCTGACCCAATGAGGCATTACTCTGCTAAACCCTAACAGGCATCCTGTCCCCAAAACCAGGATGGATGGCTCCTGAGG